TTCCGTTTATACGAAGTTTCCGGAAAAGGCCAATTATAGAGACAGAAAGCAGATCAGTGATTTCCTGGATTGGGAAAGGGATTGATGGCAAACTGGTCTGAGGGAAGTTCGTGGCGGTGGTAGATTGCACAACCCTCTAAATTGACTAAAACAGACTGAACTGTGCACTTAGCATGAGTGACTTTCACAAGATAACTTATACCTCAGTAAAGCTGTAAGTCAAACCATTTACTGGCAGTTGAGGGCAGAGAGGTAGCTGAACTGGGGTTCTAGGGGAGAAGGGGGGAGTCGCTGACGAAAGAGGCAGCTAGCCAGAGAGCGAGTGATCGAAATAATCTATAAGCTGAACCACCGTTCCTGGGGCAATTAAGAATTGGCTGCATGTCTGCCAGTCCATGAGAGGTCTGCTTACTTGCTCCACTTTTCCTCCAAGCAAAGAATTTCCAGACCAAATAAGGCTGTGGCTTTTGCAATGGGCCTGGCATGGAACACAATTCCTTTTAAGTGCCAGGTTATAACTTGGGCCCACAATGCCCCAAAGGAGCACGGTGCCTATCAGTCCACTCGGCCCGGATCCCCCTGGGGACCGCTCCGAACAAACACCAGTAAACACAGAGCAAGGCCCAGCCCCTTAGCTGGCCAGCAGGGGACAGGCATGAGCTCTGCTGCCTGGAAGGAGACCAGGAGCCAGAGCTGAGGGTGGGGCTCCCGCGCCAGTGACTTCTGCAGGCCGCTGACCGCTCCTAGGCTGGGAGCACCCTCGCCTCTGCCTTAAAGCAGGAAAACGCCACTTGCTGAACCCCTGTTGTGAGCTGCCGTTGAATTGGCCCCCGACTTGTGGTGCCCCATGCACAACATAACAAAGCACTGCCGGGTCCTGCGCCACCCCAGTGATAGGTTCTGCTTATACCCCGCGATCCATGGAGTTTTCATTTTCAGAAGTAGATCGCCAGGCCTTTCTTCCTAGTCCATCTTAGTCTGGAAGCTCCGCTGAAACCTGCTCAGCATCCTAGCAGCACGCAAGCCTCCAATGACAGACGAATGGTGGCTGCTTGTGAGGTGCATTGGCTGGGAATTGAACCCAGGTCTCTCCTGCAGAACGTGCAAATCTCTTTGGATGACAATGACGGGAAATGCTTCCTGCACTCTTACTAAGCGCCGAGCACTGTTCCCAGTGCCTTGCACAGATTAACTCGCTGACTCTTCACGACCCCACAGGTCCTGGTATTTCTCCAGTTTTCAGATGAGGAAACTGAGGCACAGGCATTGCAGCACCGGAGAGGTGAACCCCGGAGCGAACCCCAAGCTGAGGGCTCCATCCTGTGCCATTTTGCCCCAAGCTACCAGAAAAAGAAAACGGCAGGGCCTCCTTCCTGATGTCCCCAGAGGGAACCGTCAGCTCGGGACTCTTCCTTCTAAAAGGGCTGCAGGCTGCTGTCAGCAAGACCCCGTCCACCGGCAGGGAGGAATTTTGGCGTGGGATATTTCTCCTCTTTTTGGACTATCCTGTCCAGGCCAAATTGTAGGATATTTTTCAAGCGACCAGCTACTAACATTTTCCTAACAAGGTCTCTCTGGGGCGAGCAATGGAAACTTTTTGCATTGCAGCCTTCAGCCCTAACATTTTAATGCTGCATCAGCAGCGGCTTGCACGGAGGTCAGGGCTGGAGAGGGCAGGCAGGGAGCGAGGGCCCCGCCGTGGAACCCGGCCCCAGTCCAGCCTCACCAGTGCATGGTGCTGCCCACCCCTCGTTCCCTGAATTCTCCTCGCAGCCCTGCTCGCAGGGGCGGTTCTCACGCCCACTGTGCAGATAAGGAAACAGGCGCAGACGGGAAGGGGCATGCTGATGTCACGCACGCTCAGTGGTGGCGCTGGCAGACTCAAGTCCTTGCGGTTCCAGGGGCTTCCCACCACCTCGCCCCACGCGCTGCTGTCCCGTGCGTCCCCCCCGCCCTCCCCCAGGAAGAGGGACAGCACATGGAAGGAGTATGAGGAAAAGTCCAGGGCTGGGTTCCAGGTCTGCTTTCTGTAATGGGCAGAGGGGCGCTGACTCAGCACCGTCTGGGCTGGGGCTGGGGCTGGGGCTACCCAATAAGACGTGCAGAAGTTGCCAACAGAGTTCTTAAAGCTGCGAGTGACAGAAATCCACCTCAGCCCTTCTTCAGCCAATAAAGGGCATTGGTTTGGGACATGGGGACAGATGGTGTGGGGGGTCAGGTGTGGCTGGATCCAGGTGCTCATACAATCGTATGTTATCAGGCCATCCCAGCCTCCATTTTGAGCTCTGTTCCTGTGTTGGCCTCCTCTCCGGCAGACAGCTCCCTCTAGGAGGCAGGGAGTGGGGCTGCCATCCACCCCCCATTTTCAGCATGTGTGGGGAAACCCTGGTGGTGTTGTGGTTAAGTGCTATGGCTGCAGTTCGAATCCACCAGGCGCTCCTTGGAAACTCTGTGGGGGCAGCTCTACTCTGTCCTGTAGGGTCCCAAAGAGTCATAATCAACTTGACAGCAACGGGTTTGGTTTTTTTGGTGCTAACCCCAGGGAAGCACTCTGACTGGCCGTGTTTGGAGTCTGGCACGTCCCTGCACCACCCTAGCCGTGGCCAGGACACAGTGGTGCTCTGACTGATCCAGCCGGGGAAGGTGAGCCTCCCTGTGGCTGGGGGGTCAGGGCCGAGGGCCAGAGAGGGAGAGAAAGCATAAGTCCTCAGCAGGCAAAGCAGCTACCACGGTGCACCTCAACAACCACAGGTGACGCCCAGTCACAGACGCTCCTGGCCCCGTAATCACCCGTCTACACAGGGGTCCCACCAGCCTGGGTCCTCAAGGGGAGCGAGAGCTGCTGACTGTCTCCATGCTCAGCAGCGGTCATGTTCCCTCGATGCTTACTTAAATAATGGAATAAACTACAGTGGCCCCGCCTCCTTCCTCAACGATTCAGTCTAAAACCTCCATGGTGGTGGCAAGCAGGGAAAGCATCTAGGTGAGGGGAAGACGGGCTGCGGAGGCACAGCGTGGGGTGTCTCGCCTGAGCAGTGGGAGGGTGCCCCCAGGAGGGTGGTCAGGCACGGGCAAAGGCAGCACTGTCCAGGAGGCTGTGCCTGGCACGGAGGCCAGGCTGAACTATGGCACCTGGGGGACTGTGCTGTGACGGGGCAGAGGAGGCTCCCGGTGAGGTCGAGCCCCAGTCCCGGGCCCTGGATGCCGCTGGGGGCTGAGCTTGGCTCCAAAGCCCAGGGAGCAGCCACAGCGGTCAGGGTCAGTAGGCGTGAGGCTGTGGTGAGGAGTTGGGGGTGGGGGACCTCAGAAGGGACAGTCCACAGGAGCCGAGGAGTCAGCAGACCCAGGCATGACAGCGTGGACAGGAGAAGGCAGATGGGAGTGAGCAGGGGGCCAGCCCCTCAGCGGTAGGCGCCCCCCCCTCCCATGTGGGCCCCCCCCCCCAGCCCCCCGGCCTCCTGGCCCCCCGGCCCCCTGCCTCCCCGGCCCCCCAGCCCCCAGGCCTCCTCGGACCAGCAGCGGCTCCACAGAGGCAGGCCCCCCAACACCATGGGCTTCCGCTCTCCCCCTGGGCTCGGCTCAGGCTCCTTTTCTGACTCTAAATGCCGGGTCTAAAGCCTCCATTCTGGTCGCAGGAAAGGCAGAAGGAAGCCAGGGCTGCTTTCCTCCTCCTCCCTGCCATCTGCTACCGAGAAGTCCCCTGCTGGGGCGTCCCAGACGCCTGCTGACACCCAGGACGTGAGTGAGCCTTCGCACCTCCGCCATGCGACAAAGTGACACTGAGCAAAAGGGAGGAGGTTCCCTTCAGACACGAACAAGCGGCCTGTGGACGACGCATACGTTTTTATTTTAAATAATTTACATCCCTTTGAAACAAGCAACCTGAGCTGAGACAATACCACCCCGAGGTTTTCTTAAGTAACAGCTGGCAGAGGGCGAGGAAGCCATCTCTGCCCGGCTCTGGGCTTGAAGGTGTCGCCAGCGTGGACGCTAGAGGCTTTCCCGGGCCGGTCACCTGGGGCAGCTGCACCCCCGCTTCCCCGCACCGCGGCCCGAGAAGAGGGAGGGCAAGCGCAGGCAGAGCCAGGGACCCTCTGGGAGCAGGGAGGACGTCCCCGGGGCACCCAAAACCCTCCGGACCCCAAGCGGGCGGGGGGCAGGCTGTCTGTGGTGTCGCAGGAGACCCCGGAGATGGTACCAGCAGCACCAGGGGGACAGACAGACGGACAGATGCAAAATGGCCTCGGACCGTGCAGGAGAAGTGCCGGAACGTTCTCAGGGCGCACCTGCGTGCCCACTAACGGGCCTGGGCTCCCTGCTCCCTTTAGGTGCCTGACCCTAGTGGGCTGTGACAGCTGGCTTTTAGGCCGAGGCAGATCTCCAAGGCGGCCGAACCTTCCGGGCCCTCACGGGAGCGCTCTGAGGACACAGAGGCTGGGGTTCTTCTGACAGGGAGTGGAGAAGGGACTGGGAAGCAGTACCAGAGAGTCGGGGGGAGATGGGGGACACACCTCCAGGCCCACCCCACATAGGGTCAACTGGCCCTAACTGCTTTGCTCTGAAGGGACTTTCCCCCATTTTGTCATGTCAGAGAGCTTACTACTGGGGACCAAAAGCCCAGCGGTCCCCCCCAGCACATCTCCCCTCAGGGCTCAGTGGACAGATGAGGCTGTAGAGTGTAACGTATCGAGGGGCAGCCCCTCACCCCCACCCGCACTGCAGACAGAGGCTCTGGGGCTGGGTTCTCCTGGGGGCAGCCCCTCACCCCTAACCAAGCTGCGGACAGAGGCCTGGGGGGTGCGTTCTCCTGGGGGGCAGCCCCTCACCCCCACCCACACTGCAGACAGAGGCCCTAGGGGGTGGGTTCTCCATGGGGGCGGCCCCTCACCCTCACCCACACTGCAGTCAGAGGCCCTGGGGGTGGGTTCTCCTGGGGGGCAGCCCCGCTCCTCCGCCCCCGCTGTGGACAGAGGCCCTGGGAGCCACGTGGAGCCCGCCCGTCACTTCTCCTTGTCTTTCCTCTTGCTCCTCCTCTGGTTGGTCAGGGCGTCCAGCTTTGTGTCTAGCCGCCTCTGCAGCTGCGCCCTCCTGGCGGGGTCCAGGGCCCTGTCCTTGGTCCCGCTGCCAGTGTAAAGCACACCCTCCCGGCTGATCCTCTGCCGGGCGTGGGCACGTGCCCGCTCCCCACAGCCGTGGACCTGAGGACACAGCGGTCAGCACGTCAGGAGTGGAGGGCAGACCTGGGGGGCCCAGCATGACCCTCCCCGCAGTGACCCATCACCCTTAGCCCCCAGCTCCGTCTCCCCAGTGTGCGGAACGGGAATGGCAGCACCGAGGGTCCTTCCCAGACATGACTGCCGCAGACACAGGCCCCCATGGCCCGTCTCCCGCACTCTGCACGGCTGCCCACCACCCTCCATGCAGATCCGGTCCAGGCAGGCCCCTCCCGCGCCTTCCCAGGCACCATGCGGTCACCCGACGTGGGAAGCCTGCAAGCACCCAGCGGCTGGGAGTGTTGCCTCTGCACCTCGTTATCTCAACCGCACCCCACATTAGCACCGCCCTCTCCAGAGCCACGGCTACCTGCCTTGATGTCACACAAGAGCTGGGCACACAGCAGGGGCTCAAATGTGCGTGCTAGTGAATGTCCACGGAGGCAGGCAGCCTCCACTGCCTGATGGGTTTCAATTAAACGCTCCCGTGGCCCCTCCGTCTTTAAAAGGGGCAGGGGGGCCCAGAGGGTAAGGGGGAAGAAAACACGCATACGGTGCTCCGTGGGCCCATCTTGTGTACTAGAACGTGCTGGGGCCACTGGCCTCACATTTCCCCCACCAGAGCCTGCGTCTGTCCCCACCACACAGAGGGGGTGCTGCCCTCACCACACAGACGGGGTGCTGTCCCTACCACACAGAGGGGCTACCCTCAGAGCTGCTGGCGGGGCCCGTTCAGACCTGACAGGACTTGCCTGCCCAGCCTGGCACCGTGTGTCCCAGACCTGGAGGCCTCCGCATCGGTGCCCGCCCACGTCCTCACCATCCTCCCTCCCCACCTCAGTGACGCCTGTGCCGACCTGCCGCCCTGCAGCCCCCAGGGGCCCTGCCTGCCCACCAGGCTCTCCCACAAACACGGGCGGGCGGTGTTGTCTTTTCCACGTGGCCCAGGACACCAAGTCCATTATCCCGGCTGCCTCACACAGCGTCTGCATGACGGGGATCAGACTCCACGACCCCACTTGATGCGGGGGGATGGAGGCTCAGAGGGGAGGGCTGAGTCCCTGACACCAAGGCCTGTGTGCCTCTGTGCAGCCTCTCCTGCACGTGCCCGTCTCAGAGCTGCACCTACTCTGCCCACCGGGGCTCCCCCGAGCAAGCCGCACGGGACAGCCAAACAGGGGCCCCTCCTCTGGGGCACCAGGGCCCATGGTGGGAGGTCCAGACCTCACAGTCTGGAGGCAGGAGGCAGCTTCTGCAGGAAGAACAGCCAGGGGCTTGGCCCTCTGCCCTGGCCCACTAGCAGGGACCACCGGCCAGCAGGTGCTGGCCCAGGTCTGGGAGCTGCCACCCACACCTCACACCTGACCCGGTTTAAGCTCTGGACACAGATCTTTCTACCACCAGCCGCTCCACCAACAGGCGTGCGTGGAGGACCACAAGGATGTGGGTGGGAGGAAGCCCCTCACCAGGGAGGGCACTTTCTAGGTTCAGGAGGGGGCAGGGCTGGGCAAAACACAGTAGACAAACGGCCACCAGCCTGGATCTGGGGGGACGCCACCCCCAGAAAGTGACTCAACTCCAGCAGGACAGCTGTCACCCCAGGCCGCATAGCCTGCTCCTCCCCGCCCTGGATGACAGCCCCTCCCCCTCCCAGCTGGCCAGGTACCTCGGGCAGGTGGTGGCTGAGGCAGTACCGGCGGCTGCAGTGCAGGCAGAGCTGGCCCAGGGTCACGACGCTGGCCAAGCACTTGGCAAAGCCACAGGTGTTGTCAGCCTTAATGGCAGCAGAAACCAGGGCGTCAAAGTCCTCGTCCACGGGCAAAGCTATGGCCACGCGTCCTACGGGAAGAACACAGTCAGTCACTCAGGCAAACGGAGACAACGAGAGCCTGATAAAGGCTCTGCCATTGGGCGCAACGGGCGACACCCAGCCGGCCATGCTGACCCCGGCCTGAGGTGGCCCCCACCACGCAGTTAAAAATAAGGGGCGGGATGCTGAACAGAGGTGGTGGTGCCGATTCTCTGAGGCTGGAAGGTGGGTTTCAAGTGTGGCAAACGTTGTGATTAGGGGCATACACGCCGTGGCCCCGTCAGTGGCCCACTTACCTTTTCCTTCTTTCCTCTTTTTCTTCTCCGACAGCCTCCGTGTCCCAGCGCCCACCTGCCCCTTCTTGGCCAGCTGCTCCTGCCGGCCCACCTCCCTCTGCAGCCGTTCCAGGTGCAGCGCCTTCAGGTCCAGCGGGTCCCTGCTGCGGCCACCGCTGTTGCTAAGCTCACTGGGGGAGCGCTCAGCCTGCGCGGGGCTGGGGGGATGCTCAGCCCGCGCAGGGCTGGGGGGACGCTCAGCGTGTACAGGGCCAGGGGGACGCTCGGCCTGCAGGGGGCTGGGGGGACGCTCGGCCTGTGCGGGGCTTGGGGGACGCTCGGCCTGCGCAGGGCTGGGGGGCAGCAAGGCTGGGCCAGTACTCTTGCTCACAGTCACGCGCCGCCCCCTGCCCTCCCCGGCACTGCTGTGCCTCAGCCCCATCTCCTCAGCAATCTGATGGACCCACATCCTGTCACGGGCGTTCAGGGAAGCAGGAAACTCCAGCCGCGTCTCCTCACTCGCCACAAACGCTGTGATCATGGCCTTGAAGTGCTCCATGCTGTCTCTTCCCTCCACTGGCTCTGGAACGCCTCCGTTTAGGCTGGGCTGAGAAGTGGCTTCGGAGTCTGAAGCCTTAGCGCCCGGCTTCTTCCAGTCCAGCCTGGCAGCTCTGGAGGCCCGGCCTCCCGTCTGCTGCCCACTGCCCGGAGGCCCCCTCACCGCAGGGGCTGTGCCCTGGGCCTTCACGCTTGCGGGGCCCTGGGTGCTCTCGTGGGAGTAGTTCTCAGGCACGATGTCATCAAGGTACTCAAAGGCCGTGCGCACCTCCCCGTGCTCCGTGAAGTGGCCCACCAAGGTCTTCAGGAACGTGTGGTTGGAGACAGTGCGTGAGTCACAGACGACCGCCACGTGGCGGCGTGCGCGGGTGACTGCCACGTTGATGCGCCGGTCCTCAGCAAGAAAGCCAACTTCACCTAAAATGGAGCCACAGGAGAGCTAAAGAGCAGATCCCAGCCCGGCGGGGATGGTCAGGCTCTGCCAGCTCTAGCCAGTGACAGTCCTGAAGGGCATCCACTGCCCGGCGGCCTCCTGCACGTGGTCTCTGCCACCACCCGCCCTCCCTCCACCGCGGCCGATGCACAGCCTACAGAACAGCTGTGATGACGCCCCGGCCTCGCGCACATTCTACCACATTCCACCGCGACTCGAGCACAGCTCCGCAGTATCAGATCTGGGTCTTGGTAGCCCTCACACTGTTCCTAATCTCCAAGTGAGTACAAATCCTCCCCCAAAGCCCAGACTCAGGACTGACAGCACGGGGTTGGCTGCGGCTGACACGTGAGGGAAAGCAGGGGGCGCTCCGGAGCTTCATCCCCTTTCCCCACCATCACCCCCACCTTCCTCGTCCTGAAAGCTCCCAACGTCGCGTGGGCAGTTTTCACACTGAACGGCAGCAGCACAGAAACCATCCCTAGTGGCTGAGACACTCTCTGGGCTAGTCAGTCCCATCTCTTGCTGGCATGGCCCTTCCCGGCCCCTCCCGGCCCCTCCCGGCCCCTCCCGGCACACGCCCTGCCCCTCCCCTCTGAGCACTCTGCCCGCCTGGCGCGCCGGGCTCACACTGCTTATGCTCTGACGCCGCTCAGACGCTGCCTCCTTAGGATGCCAGCCTTGCAGCCTTCCACCAGGTCACGCATCCCGTCTCACCACCCCACTCAACTCCACATTGGCCACGTCTGCCTGACGGGGAGCTTGTCAAGGACAGACTGCTCCACCACCAAGGTCCTAGCAGCTGGCTCGGCGTCCGTGAGAAGCCACTGTGCACTCCAAATCGTTGTTGTTGCCAATTGCTGTCAAGTCCGTTCCAACTCACGGCGACCCAGTGTGTGCAGAGTAAAACTGCTCCATAGGGTTTTCAATGGCTGTGACCTTTTCGGAAGCAGATCACCAGGCCTGTCTTCCGAGGCGCCTCTGGGTGGGTTTGCACCACCACCCTTTTGGCCCATAGTCGAGTGCTTAGCTGTGTGCGCCACCCAGACTCTCCTCGCTCTCTGAACAAGTAAATGCATTTCCGCACTGCACCCTAGGGACCCTGCAGAGGCCGCACACCTTTCCAATTGGATCTGACGAAGGACAGGATCACAGCTTCCTTCTCTCGCCCCTGGAAGCCATCGACTGACTTTACTTCCAGCTCCGGGTACCTGTGGGCGAGGCTCTGCCGGAGCAGGTCCACCTGAAACACCGAGGGAGGGAGGACGCAGCTTCAGCACATGCCCTGCCCCTGCCCTTACACGCCACAACCGGGGGCGCCCTGTGGGAGCCACCCTCGGAAACACGGCCTCAGCACTGGCCCTGCTCACAGGCCCCAGATTAACATAGACAAACACGCAGACGTGCCCGATGTGACGCCATCGCGGGAGCTTTACCGCTTCTTCTGACTCAAGACACTGCTGGGCTTGAGCGCACCCTCCGTGTGGTGCTGTGTGGCGGGAGGGGCCACTGCTCCCACAGACCTGGCTGGAGGTGAGGCAGGGGTGTCTGTCCCACCAGATCAGATGGGCTTCCTCCCTAAGCTCACAGACGCTATGAAACACGAGGAGCCGGGGGAGGAGGGGAGGAGCAGACACCTACTGCTCTGCTTGTCCACGGCCTGCCCTGCTTGTCCACGGCCTGCCCTGCTTGTCCACGGCCTGCCCTGCTTGTCCACGGCCTGCCCTGCTTGTCCACGGCCTGCTCTGCTTCTCCAAGGCCTGCCCTGCTTCTCCACGGCCTGCTCTGCTTGTCCACGGCCTGCCCTGCTTGTCCACGGCCTGCTCTGCTTGTCCACGGCCTGCCCTGCTTGTCCACGGCCTGCCCTGCTTCTCCAAAGCCTGCCCTGCTTCTCCACGACCTCCCCTGCTTCTCCAGGCCGCTGCTAGCTACCATCGAGTCAGGCCCACCTCACAGTGACCCCACGCACGGTGGGACTGGACCACTGTGGTCCGCAGGATTTTCACTGGCTGACTTTCGGAAGATCTCCAGGCTTTCCTTCCTAGTCCATCTTACTCTGGAGGCTCCACTGAAACCCGTTCAGCATCCCAGCAGCACGCAGGCCTCCACTGACAGACAGGTGGTGGCTGTGCCTGAGGTGCATTGGCCGGGAATGGAACCTGGGTCTCCTGCATGGAAGGCGAGAGTTCTACCTCTGAGCCACCGCTGCTCCTGTCCTCCAGGTCACGCCCCTGATTTTCCTGCGAGAAACTTCCTACCTCCACCAGTGCCTGTGGGATTCCACTGGAGCCAAGGCGACCCCACCAGACCCCGTGGGGTTCCACTGGAGCCAAGGCGACCCCACCAGACCCCGTGGGGTTCCACTGGAGCCAAGGCGACCCCACCAGACCCCGTGGGGTTCCACTGGAGCCAAGGCGACCCCACCAGGCCCCAGCAACGAGCTCAGAGGTGGGGGCACGGGGCACGGCTGAGCTGACCCCACCCAGCCATAGCAATCAGCTCAGAGGCGGGGTAACAGCCGAGTCGACCCCACCTAACCACAGGGATGGTCTCAGTCAGGCCGTGAGGGTCAGAGCTGAGACACCTGTGGGAAGCGCTATCAACATGACAGGCCTTTCTGGCGGGACCACCACTGAGGGGACGGCTGGGGTTGCCGGGCCCCGGGGAAAGCTGCCGGAAATGAAGCCAACACACAGGAACCAGGCTGAGAGAGGAGGAGGGGCACGGGAGACAGAGAGACGGACGGACGGACGGACTTGAACCCTGACTGCAGCTGTGCTGATCCCCCCAGACGCTGTGGTCATCAGGGCCCGTGGAGCCTTCCCTTCAGCCACTGCGGGCTGAGTCCCAACTGACACGGGGATGACAGACGAAGGCCCTCCGCACCTGGAGGTTGTATGGCGTGATGACAGCGATGTCGCGGGCTGGGACGCCGGCGTCCACCAGAGCTTGGACATGCAGGCTGACGAGGCGGACCTCACCTGGAGGGACAACAAACAGCAGGCTTTCCAGCAAAGAGACACCTTCAGCTGATACCCGTCACCAGTCAGCACTTGGCGGGGGCACTGTCCTGCTATGGGCATGAGCTGACTTCACCCCCTGCCTAAGGGAACTTCCTGGGGGCCCGAAATCTGAGTGTGGGTCCCAAGGCAAGGGGCCAGATGCAGCCAATGAAAACCCAGGACCCCAGGTAAACTTGAACTCCACGCAAGCAACAACTAACTTTTCAGTGTAATGTGACCCACGTGTCCTCTGTTTAATCTGGCAACCTGATCGACAGAATCCAGGAGACGGGAACCGTTAGCTGAGTGAGTACGGTCACTGTAAGATTAACCAGGCGGAGTGAGGCTGCTTTGTAAGGCCACGGAGAGAAAAGCCTGCCCAGGACTATTTATTTTCCTTCCTTGGTTCTGCTTGCTCCTTGAGAAGAATACAGACATGGCTCAACCTTCTAGAATATCTGTTTCAAAATCCTTCATGACTAACAGCAGTGCCGACTCACAGAGCAGAACTGCCTTGCAGGGTTTCCAAGGCTGTCATCTTCGCGGAAGCAGACGGCCACAGCTTTCTCCTGAGGAGCGGCTAATGGGTTTGAACCGCCGACCTTTTGGTGATCAGTCAAGCGCTTTAACCACTGCACCACCAGGGCTCCTCAGACACTGCAGAGGTCAGCAAATTCCTAAGTGGACCAAGCCTGGACTACAGACAGAATAAATAGTACGTCTCACGTGTGGATAACGGCCACAGATTGAGGGTCGATGTGGAAGGATGAATAAAATAAAATGTAAATTCATTTAAAACTATCACCGAACTCCTGTCAGATTTTGTCATGCGTGTTTTCTCAAAGCAAAATAAATAAGCATATAAAACAAATGCTCCATCGCGCATTAATAATGCACTCTATTTGCCACCCTCTTCCTCAGCTCCTCTCTGAACCGGGCACTTCAAAGTGGCTTTTGGTTCGAATCCACCAGCCACTCCTTGGAAACCCTATGGGGCAGTTCTACTCAGTCCTATAGCGTCACTATGAGTCAGAATCGACTTGATGGCAAGGGGTTTGGTTTGATTTTGATGCAAGAGAAGAGCTCAGGGCTGGCGCTTTCCAAGTGCGCCCACCTGGGTTCCCTCTCGACTGCTCCTCTTCCCCCTCGAGCTCGAACAGCCCGCAGCCGGCGGTGTCGATGAGCAGCAGGGGCAAGGCCGTCTCCTCTGTAGCAGCCACTCCTGGGAGGTCCCTGGCATGGGGGGAGCCAGCAAGTGAGTTCATGGCAATACAAGGGGCTGAAGTCCCCGGGACAAGCACGCACGCCATTCACCTCCTGCGGCACCAAGCCTCCTCAGAGGAACACCTCAGAGGCATGCCTCGGAGGGATGCCTCAGAGGGACACTTCAGAGGGACGCCTCGGAGGGATGCCTTGGAGGGACACTTCAGAGGGACACCACAGAGGGATGCCTCAGAGGGATGCCTCAGAGGGACACTTCAGAGGGACGCCTCAGAGGGA